CAATGCCCCAGCACCGGCCAGCGTCGTTCTGGCATCGAACACTCCGCAGGTCACTGAGCACATCAGTACTGACTCATCTCAGCCAGATTATTAGAAGTCCCGAGATTCCTAAAACACTCTTAAAAACCAGCAGACTTTTAGAACTAGACTCCTAAGGTAATTCCTAGCCTTCCTTTCCCTGGGACATACTTACTCAGGGACAGTGCCAACCATGCTAACATCGCCCATAGCTGATCTGTTTTCGCCACTACGCAGCCCCCCCCGATTCGCCAGTGGATTGCCTTCCACCCTCGACAATCCCCAGATCTCTCTACAAGGCCTCATACTCCTGCAAATTGCAGGTCACAGGGCAACGCCCCAGCTCCGGCCAACGTCATTCTGGCATCGGCAAAACAGGGGCACAGAACAGAAGAACTATGTGAATGTCAACCCAATTGTGACCCTCTCTGAACTCCTACTCCCCAGTTGCAAGTAAAGGTTGATCACTACCACGGGTCCAGAACCCGAGAATTAGTAGGGACTGCACAAACAAAACCACCCACACTCCCCGCAACTATTGAAGGAAACTACAGGTCTCATGGTCAGCCCTCAAAACAACACACGGCTGGTCTCATACACTCCCATGCTGGAGTTACAGGGCCCCACCAAGCCCCTGTACCGACCAACCTAGTGAAGATGGTGAGGAGTGCCTTCCTCCCTCGGCAACTCCCCATAGCCGCACGCCCCAAAAGGTGACAGGGATACACCCCGGCTACGACCACGTCGAAAGTGCTGGCTCTATCTTCCTCCCTCGACAAAACTCCCTAAGCCTCATGCTCCTCTCCGGGTCACAGAGCAAAACACTCCAGCACCAGCCTGCGTCGTCCCAGACCCTTCCTTCTGACCTACTAACCAAACCCACAGTCCCCCCTCGGTTGCCCCCCCTTCCCCCTCTTACCCCACAGCCCTCTAAGAGCCAGGCCTCGGATCTTCTCCATAGAAATTGACAACGAGCCCATCCCCCCCGTAAGAACAGCATCTCAATAGGGGAGACTCCCTAGAGAAAGGAGCCGATACCGCCCACCACCTACCCTATCCAACCTTACTCCGGCAAGACTCATTGCAGCGGAGTCACCATCTCCCCTGCTGTTGTGCCCTGATTCCACTCTGTAGTTAGCCCCTTCCCACAGAGCGCGTCCTTCCCCTCCATCATATCCTCCTACCCCCTCAATACAGCCCCCTCCTTAAGGGAATCGAAAGAATTGCGTAAGAACTCCAACGTCGTTTGTGGAATCAGTCAATGCAATATTAGTCTTCAGAAATTTGCAATAGAGGATCAGTTTTACGAATTTACAATAGGAAACTCAGTATATAGAAACCAAAACTCGATAAGAATTAGGCATCTATCTAGCGCATCTTTTAAGACTGAATTGTAAGGACGAGATTATGATGATTTGTAAGAAATCATTTACGAAATCATATAAGATGTCCAAATTTAGGCTCACGGATATAAAAAACGAGAAGGTAGTTTAGGTCGTAATTTTGAACGTATTCATTAGGCTTTTTGGAGATTGATGATGAGTAGCAGAGTTATCAGATCAAATTTATTCGGATTTTTTGGAGATTGATGATGAGTAGGAAGGTCGTAATTCTAATCGTATCTATTAGGCTTTTGGAGATTGATGATGAGTAGCAAAGTTATCAGATCGTAATTATTAGGATTTTTGGAGATTGATGATGAGTGGGAATTTCCTGGATAGATTGGAGTTTTCGGGTAGGAAAAACACAATAGAGAATCACCGAAATTCAGAAATTGTTAATCAGAAAAAACATTGAGCCTAGTAGGAAATTCCATAGGAATTCCATAGAGATAATCGTAGTCAAATTTTTGAAATCAGCTATTTAATAGCTATTTAGTAGTGCAATTTTTTTTTTTAACAATCAGGGATTCCAATCTCAAGGTTTAAATCTGAATTAGGACTATCAATTGTGGAACAAACGCAGCACAACCACAACGATCACAGATAGAAGAAGCAAATCAAGAACCATAAGATGAGATCATTAATAGAGCTCAGAGAGGGAATGCATCTAGCTCACGCGTGGACCAGATTTCCATACCAGCCAATCCCCATCCTCTTCCTCAACCTCCAATTCCTGCCACTTCCTCCTTCCCTTCAGACCCTACCCCTGCGCCTTTGGGGCAGGAAGGAATCCCTTCCTCCCACAGTTAGCCTCATGGCTCAAGGCAAACGCCAACTCCAAAGGCATAATCAGCCATCTTCCACCCCAAGGAATCGAAGACAGTGTGGCTCCCCCCCCGCCAGACCCGCTGACGAGTCGCCACTGGAGGTCCAAACCACCATAACACAACAGGAAGGGGTTTTACCCCACGTATAGTCTCGTAGGCAGCTTCGTTCGCAGCAGCAGCTAAATCAGTCGACGCCAATCCACCAGCTCAAAAAGGCAAAAGAAGCTCCGAAGGGAAGCTAGACCATCCTGAAGACGGCGCAACAGCTCCAAAAACGAACGAGGGAGGCGGAATATGGCATAGTGCTCGTAGCGAAGGCACGCTTAATCGGTGGAGCAATCGAGCAAGGCGGGATGTGGCGGAGCACTTATGACAAAGACACCAGGATTATTCATCATGAATCCGCGCACCTTTGCGCTATACGGAAAGCAATCGAAAAGGCATACGCCACGAAAAACAGTCGAGACAACGCACTCAATCGCGCGCCAAAAATCCCAGGCTCCATCACTACATAGCTTCACCTCACAGCCGTGCCCACGACCTCCCTCCGCACCATCGTCTCGCATCACAAGCTCTCGTTTCATAACATCACCTCGCAACCGCACCCACGACCTCCCTCCTCACCATCGCCCCGCACTGCGCCGCGCCACTCCTCACCGTGTAAACGCGCCCTTTCGAGCTCACTATTCCGAGACGAACGGGGCGCAGCGCCCCCGGCAGCGCTGCGCCCCCAACCCTAGTTTCGCCATACACTGGGTTTTCCAAGCCCTACACCCCCATATATATATATATTTCCTACGTATTTTTAGGGGTCAAAAAAAAAAATTAAAAAAGCAGGCCGCGGACCGGGCCTCATCGGCCGCGGTCGCGGCCGAGATTTTCGGCCGCGGAGGCCGAAATGCCCGCGGCCGCGGCCGCGGGTGTCACATAGGCCCCAGCAGACTGTTGGCTCCCACCACCCTCTGAGCCAGTGAATCACTCAGACGGACATTCGTCATCACCCTCAGGAAACACAGACATCCCGAACTGAGCGTCGGACTCCCCCTAAGAGTGTTGTAGGCACCCCTGACAAGGAATGACCGACTGTTTGGCACTGCTTAAAGGGTGCTCATCTAGGGACACAAAACATACTTAGAAAAATACAAGAAAGAAAAAACCTACATAAAAATGATTGTGTGTGTGTGTGTGTGTGT